TTATTCACGAACCCGTATTGTCTGAATATCTGAATACCCACCAACCGGATTATAGACGAAACCGTTGCGTGCCACTTCCTCACCTCATTAATATTCGTCCGACGTCTATTCCCCTGTTCGCTTCTCACTTGACGTGCGTGAGTAATATCGGTCTCATGAACAATCGATCGAAAGTTAGTACCGCTGTTTGCATGTAAACATTATAAGGATGACCGCCGACGTTACAAACGTACGAAACAACAGCGCTGACCAAATATTCGAGGGTTAAGTGATTCACGAATGACTGCACACTGCTCAGACATAAACAGTCATCCGAAAACGTCGTGTGTACGTTCATAAAAACTGATCAAAGAACGAATTCGATGAAATTGCAGCCAACTGCCACCTTCTATGTTGTACTAACGATTTCCGTAGTTTCGCGATATGGATGTGTCTATAGCTTTTTCCTACACAGTGAATGCCGTCAGCTAGCGCAGGTTAAAGAATGTACATTCGTTCTTATTTTTACGCATTTTCTATAAGACCCAAAACTTTCACCCAGTTGTTGTGCTGTCATACCGAAAAACCATTCTTAACATCGTTTTCCGTTTTCGGAAGCATTAAGTTATTAACGAACGACTACGTCGAAATCATAATTAATAAATAGGTGATCCACATGCAGATTATCGTAGGGCATCTAGGTCAAGCTGTCGAATGAACCTGTTTTCTAGCCGAAAAACGGGGGATACAAGTGGCAGGCCACAGATTCGACCATGTCAACACATTCAGACGCGTTGGTGTCGAACAACTGTGCCTTCATCATAAGCCAACTTCTAAGAGCACTTCTATAAACAGTTGATAGCATAAAATTTTCATGTTTTCGAAAACTACTTTTTCCGTACTGCTTAACTTCTTTCAACATGCTGCTACGATTTAAGCCCTGGGCATGCAGAATGACGCACTGATTAATTACTCCGTCGCAAACAACAAAAACCATGTTAATAGACTACAAAATTCACAGCCAATTTTACCAATTAGTCTTTCGAATAAAACGTCGTTTGCATGTCAGCTGGATCACTCGCTCCAGCCAACGTCAAAATGGCTATCCGCTAATCCTCGCGGTTTCCAGTATTCTCACTTCGTCTCATAAAATCTCCCCATCGCCTTGGGGTCCTGTTTACTGGCGAGTATATTAATTGACATTCATTATGTCGATTAATATGAACGGTCGGTTCTCCTGTCGGTGAACCGAGCAACGTGAACCCTGGCTCACTTCCTCCCGCATTCGACGGCAACATCCTTCACCCCGTTCACTGTCTGATCATCGTGTTGTGTACGTGTATGTGGTGTCGACGTGAAAGTCCGAACACTTCTTTCCATGGTTCTTCGGCATGACGGTTGAACTGAAGAGGTGGACACGAGTTTCTCTGTTGACGTCACTGTAGACAGAACGTCCTCAATAGAATGGGATGCGTTTCCCCCGCCCTCTTTCCCCACTGAATATCTCCAACCTGACCACAACGGGTGTCCGCATATAATTAGCAAAAAGTGGTTCGCCAACATTTGGTCTCCAACAGATCTTAAAACAGATGGAGGACATACGACTACCGGTAAAACTATCATTCCACAAAAGCCACTTACTGACCGTCTCAACACACTCACTCTCGTTCAGTTTTTTACCTGAGGTGTCGAAAAATTCAGGGGAAAATATACATGTAGCAAAAACGGCTGTTTAAAATTTAGCAGTACCTAGCGAGGCATTGTAGTAAACAAAATCGTACGAAATGGATACACAGGCGCTGCAGATAGTCACTTACAACACAGTAAGGACTTATTAAAATGACTCTCTGCCTATCTTTAGCGTCGGAAGGTAAGATGAGATATCGCGTAGCATGGTATTGTTGGAAACATACCGATTTTCAAATAATTAAACAATAAACAACTCTACTGATCTACTTTCGGATATCAGCTCATGAATCGTTTTTTAGCCGTGTAGGTGCTCAAGCCTTAATTAATTCTAATTTACTTCTCACTCCAACATAACAAACTTTTTGATTAGCTGGAAAAGAGTACAAGATTTTAACCCAAGATCTGCCCCCACCATCCCATATAAACAATAATTTGTCCACGATCTTCGTGCCAGTGAGAATTGCCTATTAACAGTTTGCTCTCAAATCGAACCTCGATTAAATAACTTCCGACAAATTTCAAAATAATAATGATCTTCACTGCGAGGTTACATGTATGACAGATATAATCAGTCATAAAAAGGTGTGGCATCACATAAACAAAAGTAACAGAAAGTTTATTCGGCAATTCTGACAGCACGTGGTCAACTGAAATGAACAAAACTGTCATTCAAGTCAAACTTAAACAAACGCGGCCTCTTTCATTGCAATATACCGAAAAGAAAAAGACTAACAACCCTAGCATGTCTTGAACAAACTTCAGACCGGTCGCGTAACTCCCGGAAATCAGGCTTGTTATTTGTGCCGTGACCATTTCCAAAAACCGGAACTTATTTACACATGAGTCAAAACACGAAAGGATCAATTTATAAAGGGAGCAAATTTCCGGGAGCGAACTTCACTAACTTTGAATATGTACTTAAATTCAGTGCAGTGAATTTCAGGAAAGCATAACCAAGAGATTACTCAACAGAAGCCTTTCTTTCTGCGGTTTCAGAACATGGGTATGATAAGATATACTAAATATATGCTTATTTTATAGCTATGTAGACAGAGTAGCGAATTAATAGTCACAGACCATAAAACAAGACGCTAACATTAATACTAAAACACAGTCTCTGACAGAATTCACAAAAGTCTGAACTTCAAAAATTAAAGAAGGTGAAATATATCACACTGAAATTTAGCGGGCCCGAAATGAAGAGACAAATACGTCCATCTGCATCATTTATTAGTTTACTAATCTTCACATCACCTGACGGTGGACAAGCCTTCTGAGACCATTTCCAGTTGCTTCGAACAGAAACATTAACTCTACTTGTACATCTAAACAATACAGAAGAGCTGTCGAGAAACAGTGAAAAATGGCTTAGAATGACGGTAAACAAGAAAGCAAAAACAGAACATGCGTGGTTCATTTGAAAAACAGTGACGGGTGACATAAAAAGGCATTGAAATTGAAAAGAAAAAATGAGGAAAGCCAGTTATGAGCCATATTTATTACTTAATCGCCGCATATGTACTAAACTTTGATTTCGGCACATACTCTGAGAAATTACGTGCGTATACGTGATCATACTGAACTGTGCTTAGCACGGGTGAAAAGCAGTGTTCGACAGAAAAATTTGCTACAACCTCACCCCCTCATGTCACGAGGTACGGATACGGATGAAGATAATGGTGAGCTAACCGTGTTATTAAGTGGTTTCATCTTTACCCGAGAGAAACGATGAATACGCTGAAGCTCAGCCACGACGCTAGCTCCGGTGCAAGTGCATGCACCAAGCCTAAAAACGCTAATATAAATATTCTTTCTGGTAGAAGCTGACGCAGAGCTAAAAGGTAGGCTGAAAAAAATTCTTTTTTTATGGACATTTCAACGAACTTGTTGAAATCTGACAGCCAGAAATCACAAAGCATTATGGAGAGAAAAATGGTGACTCGATACGAATCGATGGCATCGAATATCGAATAACCAGACTTATGATGCGCCAATTATCTTTCCATAACGAACATCTTCATCCAGAACTATTACGTTCATAAGTACACCAGGTAAGGAATAGTTTGAAGCAACGACAGCCAATCAACATGGTCATGCTTCCATCTGTCCTATTTTCCGTGATGCTGTATCATCACCATCGTCATCACTGGCCTTTTACTATCCATTGTTAACTGAACGCTTCCTCCATTTTATGCTTTCATGAAGCTTCACACTAGCAGCTGATGAAGTCGGTGTCTGTTTTTTCGATTTCCCACGCATAGAAAAAACTGATATTCGTTGTTTGTCAAAATTATTTGTTGTATCAACTGAAGATGATCCGTGATGCTAGGCATTCAACTGAAATTAGAGGTCGAGACGGGAGCAAATCGCCAATTTCTTCTCTTCAAACTGGGAGAAGGACATCTCAGTTACCTTTTTTGTTGGATATCAGTAACCACTGGTGTCCCAAATATAAGTTTATCTACAAATTAAATACTAACAACTGCGGCTATCCAAGCAAATCCACCACAAACTTGTAACTCGTCGGAAAAAAGCACAGAGAAAAATACAGTAGCTCGGATCGGGTAGTCATTAACTGACTTACAGATCTCCGCCGTTGGGAAACAAGTTAATGAGGTACCTACAAACTCACACAGTCAAGTGTAAAAAAATCACATTTTCATTCAAGCGAGAAATAAGAACTTGAGAAACAAAGTAAGTGTCGATCATAGAAGAGAGCATGAGGAAATTTTCTTGCCATTCCAGATTTACACTGTGATGGGAGGGTAGTACTGTACTATAAGATTCAGGAGTGCAACGGCCACCGCATATTATGCACATCATATCACGTAAAGAGCGAAACCAGGGTCTGCCTGTTTACACAGCCCATAACAAGATCAGTAATCAGAAATGTCAAGTCACTTGACACAGACTACTAAAAACTGAACCACCTACGACAACCATTAACTTCTTATCCAACAATCAGCAGTCGCCTCGACTTTACAACAGTTTACACCATTCGCAAGAGCCAAAACAGTCGAAACAGTTTTAGTCAAATAATAAGCACAACTGTGATTCAGGCGTTTTTCAGACTCACTTGAACAAAGGCCGTGTCGAAGGTGTATCGAAAGACTGAGTGGGAAAAATACAGTGCTTACCGTTCGTTTGATGAGCAATGGAATGCCCGAAAATCGATTTGACATTCGACAAAAAAGGCAGAAAGTGAGAAACGCCGTCTGAACTGTGTGCCGGTGTTCACGGAGCCAGTGCAAATCGGAATGTGAGCAGCTTCTAATTAAACGAGTCTGCGAGGTTGTGAAATGCAACTGACAAATCTGCGTAAAAAACACCGAATGAATTGCCTGGTGTCGGTTTCGATTATTTTCACCGGTGACGGCGATGAACGTCGACAGACCACCTTCAGGAGGTCGACCACACGGGCGCCGTCCAGCGACATTCCAAGACCATCGGGCGCCATCGTCACCGAACGGCAGAATGTACCGCGGCGAGTTAACGCCCGCTCCCGCCGCGAAGCGATCGGCTGGAAATTGAGGGCTGCCAGTGAAGAACAAGGAGACGGAGACGGACGAGTGGCCGCCGGCCAACTCCGCAGAACCGGTCCGTCGTTGACGACTACTGACGGCTGCCTCTACGACGGCTCCGGTTGCGAACTTTACACGATCGATTCGACGATTAACGAACAACCGTAAAAATCAGTCATGGAATGTGAAAAATTGGGCGAACTTAACAGAAACCTTTACCGCCTCTCGTCAAGGTCAACGTGTCAAGAAAAATGAAAACACGTCCGTCACTAGTCACAGCTACGGCCACGACCCCCCTTTGTCAAAACTGCATTTTCTACAGACCAAATTTTCTAAAAGACCAGACATTCAGCTTGGTCAAAAATACTAACTTCAGATATGCATCAACACTGATCACAAAACAATAGCGCCTCCGCGTCCAACCTCACACAAGGAACCTCAATGACGTTCTGATGCTCGGCACTGCCTTTCGTCACATGTTTTTTGTCCAAATATGACCATAACACTACAGTTATTACGGCCATAACTAATTTTATGGCATTCACTAACATTATTCATGTATTTCTGCAGGACAGCTAGTAGTTGGACCGATATGTTCATATGGCTTAACCCCTGAAAAACTTGTTTTTATGATGTGTAAACGATTTATTTATATACGACGCAAATAATTCAGTCAGTATGATGATCGATCAGCACCGACGCTTCGTCTCGTGACTCATGGGCCCATTTCAAAGTAAAGAGATGGTTGTGACAGAGGCCGAAACGACTGTACTTTTTATGCTGTTTTCAGCATGGCCACCAACGCATGAACCAAATACTCAATCATTATGTATCGTTCAAAGAATATTAATAAATATATATATGACTTCGGATGTTCTTTCTGATTCCACATCACACACTTTACGATGTGAATTTGAAGCATAAGAAAAGTTGGTCATCGTTGGAATGTCGGTCTTCTATCGCATTCATGACTGAACGATTTTGGCACTCTTCTTTTTATGAAATTGATGATGCGGTGCTGACCTTGGTCATCGCTAAAACAGCCTTACGGTCTTACAGGCCAAATTTACAGCCATGTGCCAAACGTAGCGTGTACTCTTGTTTCCTTCTCATGTAGTGGTCCTCCTTTACCAACCTCTGAAGGAAGAACGATGAATGGTACTGATAATAATGCGTCATAAAATGTGTGATGTTGCGATTCATGACATATTAAAGTAAGGCAAAAGTGGATATTTAAATAGCTTTAATTTTGTTGCCAACGATCACGCTATCTAACAACTGAAGGAAGAGAAAAGTCTACCTTACCTCTGCGCCCAAAACCTCTGAATTAGAGCTGAATTTTTTACCATAAGAATATTAAGTTTATTAAATATGAGCGCTTCCCTCTAAAATTGGCTAAAATAAAGAACGTGTCATTTTCGATTCTGAGCTGGATGGAGGCTTTTCCTAAACTTTGCCATAAACTTCCATTTGAAGCAATTTCTATCCATGTTGATTCAGCGAATTTTTTCATCTGATCTTTCCGTCGATCTGGAGGGCTTCCAAGGGGCAGTTTACTTAAT